CTGTTCACTACACTTATAAAAACACATGCAGCCTCCACTAGCATAATCATCATGGTCCCAAAGAACACTAGGAAGCAGAACTAGTTGGAGGTCATGTTGAGGAAGGAAGAAAAGAATCAAGTCACTCTTACAGATAAATTTTCAAAGTGTTACCTTGCTTTGTATTTTCACAGCAATGCTCTGCATCGTGATTAGTGAAAACACAGGTAGTGACCACTTCCACATGCAGGTACTTCAGTAGGCACCCCAGCCAAGAGATGACAGTGGGTTTAATAGTTTGTAACATGGCTTAGAAAACTGCTTCTTTCAGGCCTCCTTGATAAGTATAAGTAGTTTTTCCCCTCTATTTCCTTCCCCGGTCTTCCCTGACTAGGGCCCTTTCTTTTCCTGTATTTATAATCAAGTTCATGGTTAAACCTAACTCAACTTTTGGTGAATCAGGCTAGACTAACCTATTTGATACAACCGCCATAACTAAAAAAAAAAAAAAAAAAAAAAAAAAAAAAAAAGGCAAGTACTGAGATAGTGTACTGGTACTTATTATTCAATCTGTTCACATTCATCTTTTGTATTCTTAGCCACATATATAAAAGACTCCTGTATTCAAGAGTTGTAAATGTTGCCACTGCACTAAGATTGACTTCACTCTTCATTCCCTCTACACCTGTTCCCAGGCCAGTTTTGTGGTTCCACCACTCACAGTAGTGTGTGAGGCTTTTCTAAAGTGGAGAGGAAATCTAGGCTTCACATCCTTTGCATTCTAAATTTACAAGAATAACCCTTCCTTCCACTTTTTTTCCTCATTGACAGTCCTACTAACTTCAGCTTTCTACGTGCAGTGACAGTAATGCAGGTTCTCAGAATTAACCATTCAGCAACAGTTCTGCAAGCCTTTCGGTCACTCCAGACTTTGCTGAGGGCTGCAAAAATTCTTTTCCCCCACCTCCCCCTCTTAACTCTACAGAAGCTGAATGTCATTTAGAGTAAGTAGTGGTAAGATATCCTCATTGTCCCCACCAGAAAAAATTCCAGCTTATTATAAGCGGATCACCTTCTCTCCAAATGTCTTCAGTACACATTACATTATTAACTTACATTTTTTCATATTTTATTATTCTGTCTTCTATTGTATATTCTAGCTAAATATCTGTTCACTATATTTGGCAATTAAGAAATTTATGGCAAGGTAACTTCAAGCCATAATTAATTTAACATGTCAATAAAACAAGTTTCTTTAACACAGCAACCATCCTTCTCAACACGACTGAATGCAAAAGAGAACACATCAGATTAATTCCTTTGTTCTAATTTATAACTGCCACAGCTTTATACATATCTAATCTGAGAAACACTTCTAAATGAAGCCTGCAAATGGCTCCCTTCATCAGCTTGGATGTTCCCATTATTTCCTGACCCAGCACACCCGACCCTATGGAGCTGGGGTACGTGACAGGGCCATGCTGCCACACAGAAATGTGGTCCCTCTTCTTCATAACCCCACGCTCCCAAGACCAAGAGCAGCAGCTCTGGCTCGGCCAGTAGAAACTTAGTGGTGCCCAGCAATTGCTGGAATGGCAACCAAGCACGAAGAAAATGAATAAATAAATAAAAAACAATAGTTGAACGAGTCTTTGGCATACCCTAACAACGTTGCCAAGTATCTGTTAAAATATTGCTATTTTGGAATTCTTAAAAAAATTAAGACATAAATAAAAAAGCTCCATCCATTCTGTAGTATCCTTACCTAAGAATTGCTTTGGTTTAGGATTGGTCTTTTCAGTGACAATTTTAGAGATGACACCTCTGTACACAAACTTTTTTTCAATAGCAGTATCTCAGGCTAATCTGTGGATCTACTCTTCAAAATTAATAACAGTAGATTTTGTAACTGTTTTCTTGATTTCCCCATTTTTGGATTGATCTCAAAAGTACTCACCAGAGCCTAAAAGTTGTATGGGTGATGCTACCACAAAGCAAGATAAAATAGCAGAAGCCAATGTCAAATTACAGTTCTGTTAGTGTTCTATGGTTAGAGAAACAGACGAGCTTTGCACTGCTGAGTTTGCATTCAAACACAATAAAGCACGACTTCAAGTAAATACTTTTGTCAGTTGCTATAGCCCTATGTGGTTAGTAGGGCTTTAAAAAGCCTTTCCTGAATGGGAGCCAAGAAATCACAAGCATATGAAAGGCAGAGGACAACAGGTATACAACAACCCAATCCAAATAAATGCACACAAGGAAGCTTTCAAACATGCACACTGCTCCAAATGACTTCACAAAAATACTATCACCGGTGCCACATGAAAGACTGTGTCAGTGAAAGGTTCAAACAAACCAGCCTACACAAATAACATTAGCAACAAGTGCCCAAACTCACTACATGCCACTTATTAGAAAAGTAAGCAGGTATTTTCACTTCCCTTCTAGGGAACAACAAAGGTTTAAAATAAAATAGCAAAACAAAACTACAAAGAAACGCAAAACACGACCCCATAAAAAAGCCTACCTAGACAAAAACACCCCACTTCCACACAGGAAGGTACCAAGTGTTCAGTTAGTTAGCTCCAAACCCTTTCTACCTTTTTCCATGGCCTCACAATCAAACACTTTAGTCTCAAAGTATTCCTCTAGACAGTTAATTTGTAGTCTCACATCCTGCTCAAGGAAGAAGAACACATTTAGCAGATGTCCTGAAATGATGAGAGCTGCCAACAAACTAGGTTCACTACTGGAAGATTTCCACTTAAGAATCAAGTCAATGCTGTCTTTGCAAGATGTTATCAAGTAAGACTATAAATTAGAAACTGATTTGGCTACACACCTATTTTTTTTCCTTTCTCTTTTTTGGGAAAATCAAAAGCAAAACAGCAAGAAAAATGACACCTTAACACCTAGCGTTAGAATCACAGCATGCCTTTGCAGAGATGCACTAAGTTGTGTGGCCACAGGTCCACATTGTTTGCTTAGGGCTCTCCAGATCTGTGAGAAACAGCCAGCATTCCCGTAAATTAACACATTTGAAACTGAACCTTTTATCAGAGTGTTTTGAACTATTTCTAGTTTGCCAACTGAGAACACAGAGCAGAAGCAGAGTCCAAGTTTAATAGCTAAGCATCTGCATGGACCCAAGAACAATACCAATATTCATTAAGAGGCCAATCTCAAACTCCCTTCTCATATTTTCGAGACAAGCACTCTATTAATACATTTCCTAACCTTAGCATAACTCTTATGTTTTCATCCCAAAGCACCCACACACACATTGGTGAAGAGTTCCCAAAATTATGACAACTACGCGCCCTACACGTAGCAGGGGGGAAAAAAACCCTAAAAATAAATCTCAAGGAAGCTATATATTGTGCCTTGCCAACCACAGTGAATTGTGCAGCCAGGAGTTGCTACAGCCAGATTTAGCTTCACACAAGCTAACAGGATTCCTTTATAAATTTAGCTAGAGGCACGAGCAACAAACGCTTGTGGAAATTTGAACCACAACTCTCCAGCAGCAAAGCCTGCTCCCTCCAAGAATGAAACAGTAGCAAAAGATGACTATTAGTAGGCTCTTATTACACAGCTTTCAAAACACCTATAAGTCATCAGGTTCTCTAGGCAGAGTTATATGCTGAAGTACCAGTGAACATTAATAGAAAAAAGCAAGGCCACAGCTCATTCTGTGCCTGCCCATTAACAATCAGAGGAAAAAAGCCAACTAAAGAGAGACTGTATTGGAAACGAGCTGAAAGTTTGTCTAAGTTTATTTCAGGTCTTTTTCCCTCATACTTGGAGCAGTGTGGCTTGTGAAGAAAGAAGGAAACGAGTGCTTCAGGTCTCTCAGTGCTAAACTGAAGGATGAGATCTGAAGGGCTTCTCCAGCAAGAGGGACTGGGACACACGACCCGCAAAGCAAGGAAAAGAAGAGCGCAGGATATGGGGAAATGTATACAGGGTCCTATAAGACAGCTCAGTCCCACTGCCTCGCCACAGAATCAAAGCTCCTGCTACTTAACAATAGATCAATCATATCTTTAAACCACTTTAGGCCATACTTATCACAATCCCACTAACTTTAAAACATTTTAAAAAACAGAGGATGAGTTTTGGTGGTTTGTTAAAGCATCCCCACAAAACCTGAGGCCCTACGGAATTTTATCATATTTTAAAAGAAGTACCTTCTCCCCGGCCGAAGAAACTCGAGGAAGCCCCCAGGCTCGGGCTGAGCCGGTGCAGCTCGGCCAGGCTACCCCGGGCTCCGGCGGAGCACAAAGCGGCGCGGTGGGAGCCCAGCGCACGGTGCCCGCGGCGGGCAGCGCACAAAGGCTGCGCTCCCGGAACGCCCGCGGCGGAGCCCCCGGCGCGGTTTCGGGGGCTGCGGGACACCGGCTACCTCCCCGCCCGCCCCGGGAGCCGCCGCCCGCTCCCCGGCGCGCCCACCGAACAAAGCCCCCGGCAGCGCTCACCGGCAGCCTCTCGCCGTCTTCTGCCCTCGCCCAGCGCTCCTCCTCCCGCTGGAAATCCAGGCGCAGCGGTGCGGGCCGGAGTGCGGAGCTTACCCCGCCGCTCCGCAGCCCATTCAGCGGCGCCGGGCGGGTGTCCCCCTCGCAGCGCCCGTGGCCGCGCCCCGGCTCACTCCGTGCGCTGCGGCTCCGGGCAGCGGCTTAATCTCCAAACTTCCTCCTCCTCCTCCCGGCCGGGCAGAGGAGTCTGTGCAACTCCCCTCCTCCATGCAGCTCCCGCAGCCCAGCCGCTGCCTCAGCCCCTCCCCGGGGAGGCCTGGCCCGGCTCTGGGCTGGGGCTTGCTCTGCTCTCCTTCCCCTCCCTGCTCCGCCGCCCCCCAGCCCCCGAGGCTGGGAAAGGGGGGGAAGAGAGATTAACCACTCGGATTTGTCTTTGGAACGGAGCCAAAGAGAGCCCCGGGAAGAAGCAGGGAGGAAAAGGGAACGGGGGATTAAAAAAAAAAAAAAAAAAAAAAAAAAGGAAAAAAAAATCCGCTACTGTTTTCACGGAGGGGAAAAGCGCTGCCCTCCCCCTTGTGTCAGGTCACAGCCTCTCCGCCCTCTGCGAGCCCCATCCCCGCCTCGCCGAGCTGCCCGCAGGCTCCTCTCCGCCACCACAGGTCTGAAATTCAATTCACAGGTCTGAGAGGGCTTAATGAGTAAATGAGTTGCCACATTGTCAAAATGCGAAGAAGGCAAGTCCGCCACGAAATACAGACCCGTAAAAAGCAAATTGCAAGAGGTTGTAGATAGAGACTACACCTGCCCCGTGGCAGGCTGCTGGGTCATCTTCATTGGAAAGGTGTGTTGAAAGTTACACAACATTAAAAAACAATACATTAAAAAGACACACACAAAAGATAAAAAACTGGCTTAAATAAAGCCTGAATTCTTCATACATGTTCAGTGCTCCTCATTCCTCTGAGCCCTAACAAAAGCCTTGGTTTCCTGTAAAACCTCATTCCGTATTTTACGTTTAGTAAAGCTGTATTGCTTTTGTTCTATAACAGTTTCTCCCTCTACTCATGCTAATACACAGCATGTGGAATGCAAGGAAAATTGAGAGGTTAGAACAGCTCATACTTTTCAGATGTCACAAGAAGTAATTACAGCAGTAATTCAGAAAAGCAGGAAGTTTCAGTGTTTGCTCTCATCTTATCTGTTCTCATTGGAATCCTAAACAAACAAACAAACAAACCCCAAAACACCTTGGTCAGGGTCTGTTTCTCTGTCATTGATTCAGAAGCCCAGAGCTCTTTCCCAACATATGCACTGAATATTCTTCAGACCGGTGCTGAATTTTAAAAATTACCCCATTTATTGATTAATTTTGGCCCAATTTCTAAACAAAAGTTTGTGTTTAATAAGTGGGACTGTATTACCTTTTCAAGAAAAAAAAAACTTCAAATGTTTTAATTACAGCTGTTCTTGCACATAACATTTATTGACATTGCAGAACTGCAGCACAGTTATCATGGAATTGCAGAGTATTCTGAATTGGAAGGGACTCTCAAGGATCATCAAGTCCAAGTCCTAGTCCTGCAGAGCACAGCCGCAGGAATCCCACCCTCTGCCTAAAAGGGTTATCCAAATGCTCCTTGAACTCTGTCAGGTTGCTGCTGTGACCACTTCCCTGGGGAGCCTGTTCCAGAGCCCAGCCACCCCCTGGCTGAAGAACCTTATCAGCATGGGGTAAATCTCACTCCACTCCTATTTCCTTGGGAGCCATCACTGTCCTACCAGGCAGGAAAGGCAGATCACAGAAGGCTGGACTCCACAGTTAATACACTGGAACAGCATTCTACAAAGTTGCTTGACAGGGGGCAAGTGGGAAAAGGGCAATTTCAGATGAGATTTAGTAGCTTCACTAAAATCAGCCCACTGGTTGTGATCCCCTGCACTACATACCTACTCCACGTCTGAATTCAGCATCCAGCTGAGCACACATCCTTGCTTCAGCACACCACACTCTGGTCTTGTGCTGGGAACAAAAAATTAGCCTTCATTTGCAAGTCAATAGAAAAAAAAAATAAGAAAAAAAAGGCAAGAAAAAAAGCAGCAAAACTTCTCTTATGAAACTACTGGGAGAGAAGCATTTGTAACTCTTTCCCATTTGGGGAATCAGGGAATGTTTTTCCTTTATGAATAGATCTTTGAAAGATGGTAATAAAACAAACTACTGCTTGATGCATTTAACTTGGTCCAAATTAAAACAAATGAAAATGCACACACATCCCCAAATGGGAAATGCAGCAAAAGCCCCAAACCACAGACTATTCCAAGTTCCTTTAAGAAACTGTACAGTCACTCCAAATATGTTTTAAAGGCCTTACATGATCTGTTCCATATGGAGTTTGTTTTTCCTCAGTGCTGTGACTAACAGGAAAAATCTTCAAGAGGAGAAGTCTCTTCCTCTCTCTTCATCCTTCTACCTCCGTTTCCCCAAAGGACTGATCATGAGTCTGTCTGGTTTCTGTTTGCTTGTGCTAAAAATAATGTTACAGTGGACTGACAAAATACCCTGAGTTTTAAGGCAAGTGACTGATAACGTAGGATTATTGTTGCACAAGGAGAGAAATTTAAAGGCCAAGCTTTATAACAGTGTAACACAAAATAGTGTATCTGAAGAATCACCCATTTTTGGAGGAATTGGATGCATGTGCAAGTTGTGGGAACTCCTGTCTTTGAAGGTAATTTGCCGTGACTATTGGTAAAAGGGCACAAGTGACAAGGAAGCTGCAGGCAGGTGAACTTTCTCCTGGGTTTTCCTGGGCACCAGAAGGTCAGTGGCAGATGGGGGAGCACCAGTTGTTGTCAGTCACCCTCAGCAGCACTCCTGTGCACAGGCAAGAAGCAAGCCTTTGTTCCCCCCAGCTCCACCTTTTCTGACACACATCTTTTTTCTGCTTACTCTCACAGCATCTCTCATATTCTCACACTGCAGGATCCCTGCCTTCCCCTTTTAATAAGGTGGGATCCAGCTCCAGCTGCCAGCTCTTCAACTCTATCCTTCCTGCTGTGCTGGCAGTCAGAAATTTGCACCGCTAATGAGTTGGTGTCTTTCACAATGGTGGCCAGGACTTCCCTTCATCTACTAGTTGAAAGTGATTTGCTTACTATGTTGGGCATCTGTAACCTAAAATTATTTTCCTTCTAGGTCTGCTTATATCAACTGGTCTATCAATAAGTTTGTACATATGTTCTCAAACGTCACAGCGTATCTTTACATCACCAGCTCTGAACTGAACCAGTCATTGTGTTAATGTTTTCCTCATTCTGGCTGTGACTCAGCAAAACTATAACCAATGCCTTTAAATGTACAGAAATCACTGTCACTTCAGTTTTGCTGACTGATGGTGGATTTCAGCATTCACTTGAGGAGAAGCACAAATTTATCTGTTCTGAGTTAGAATCTGGTGGGGGGAAAAGCTTGTCTGTGCAATAACAGAAAACTGCTACTTGTAAAGACACTCCCCACACACACTTAAAAGAAAAAGAAACATCCCAGAAGTGATTGTTTGGTGAGGGGGAGGTTCTGTAGAAGAAAACTGCTGCATCCATGCCATGCACAAGGGTGTAAAGCAGGGAAAACAGATACAATGTTAACCTGGGCACTTCCCAGTCACCAATAATAATAAAAATAAAAATAAAACCAATAAATGCAATGTTCTCCTTGCCTTGTGTCCAAATTAATTATTCCACCCACAGTACAATTTAATTGGCAGGCACAGGTTCACTCATTTGCTTTGCAAAGAAATATTATTAAGTGTAGGGGGTTTTTAGAGCTGTGCTCCCATTTCACAGAGCACACTCTTTCATGTACACTAATGCCAAGGAGTACACAACCATATAGTAATTATATGTTCCAGTAAAATCATTAATACCAAATAAAATGCTATCATACCTACTGTATCCTGCAGGTATTCAATTACCTCCAAGTTGATGAGATACCTGTGTGAACGAGTGAAAGAAAACTGGAAGCATATTTAAGTCTTTGCAGCAACAGCTGCTAAAACATTTTATTACAAAGTTCAAAATATCTTACTCCCAATCTTACTGTAAAGTTTAAGTGGAAGTACTTTAAATATAAGATGGCTTTGCATGCCACTTGCCTTGGGAAACAAACAGTGTGCATAAAGAATGGGAGAAAGAGGATAAAGTTTAGTGGTTACAAGTATGAAGACTGTCAACATAAGAAAAGAGCAAAATATTGTACAGAACAAAATGACTGAATTTAGTCTTTCTAGGGAGAGGGTTTGACTCCTTTGTCTGGGAATATTTCTATGCAGAAGTAAACATCTTTGAGATGATTTGCTTTTCCACATAGCAGCACTGCTTGGATCTTCTACAAATGCAACTGTATTTCATAAAACAAGCACGGGGACTAGCTGCACTTTTCATGAAATAGGCTTCTGGTAAATTCAAAAGCTAGTGCAATTATGTTGTCAGCTCAGGTCTCAAATTCCTGACACGTCTTGGGTCTTAAGCACAACCTCCACCATGATGCTTTTTTCATTGTGTTAAATAATAGCTGTCTACATTTCCCATCTGTTCTTCTCCAGAAAGTTTTTCCTCTGTGTTATTCCTGAAAACATTTGCATCTAGCCCCTTGCAAAAAAAAAAAAAAAAAAACAAAAAAACATGTTTCAGTCTTACGAGGGCTCATCCTCTTCCCAATTGAATTTTCTTTGGAGCATTTTAGGTTATAAGGCTGGAATTGAGCTGTTCATTTCAAACTTTGCCCTTCAGCCATCTTGCTCTAGAAGAAAGTGCCCACTAATTCCATGCTCCTCATAACAAAGCCACCAGTTAAGGATGACCCATTGCAACCCCTCCAGGATGGAAGATGCTTACCCCATTTTCTCTGGACAGGACAGTCAAAAGCTCAAAATAAAGCTGGAGCAGAATCCCAGCCACTTCCTCTTCTCTGTTTAGTTGCTTGCACAGCAAACAGCATTACTGGGCACACAGGAGGTGCTTGTTTCTCAAAATACAGCTGCCTCTTTTTGGCTTAAATTAATTATTCACATGAACAGCATTAAAATGTCACAAGGAGGTCTCCATCTTCTGTGTTTTATTTAGGGGCTGCAAGACCATGCTCTTTAAAAAGGTTTTTTCTTGCTGCATGCTTTGTGGTGAGTCTACATGTACAAAATAGCAGGATCCAAGTCCAAGGTCTTCAGAGCACAAGGAGTATATTAGACTTGTTTTAAGAAGCAACTAAGAGTTACTTTTCAACACTGCTAATACAGGTGCTCAGATGGCAGATGAACTCATCTGATTACAGGACTCCAACTTCAAGGAAACTCCTTCAAATATAAGAAACCACTGGTTTCTTCTGACTCATCTAGGTTATTAAAAGAAATTTTTACTACTTACATGGAAATCTTGTGGTTCCCTACTTTCAGCTGTAACTTTTAAAGCACAATGCTCCACAATAATTAGACTAATTGTTTTAAACTACCCTCTGAGTAATAAGTAATAACATGCTTTTTTTCTCAGGCAATAAACTGAATTCAGCCCCTAACTTCTTCAAGATCACCATCCAGTCCCTGGGGTATTTTCCTCAAGCACAACTAGCCCTGGATTCTTCCTTGCATTTAGTCTGGTTTGCTGCTTGTCAGAGAATGAGATGGGCAAACCCCAGAGCA